TCTACCACTTGAGCCACAGTGCCACTTCCGGCTTTTTTCTTTTTGCTTATGTGGTGCTGAGGAATCGAACCCAGGGCCTCGAGCATGCAAGGCAAGTACTCTACCACTGAGCCACCTTCCCAGCCCTTGTTTTGTTTTGTTACTGGTTTCTTCTCCTTTGTTTAGGTCTAGGGGCAGGGAAGGGAGGCATGAGAATGTTAGAAAGCACTCCTTGTAGGATGTGCCTATACCTGTGTGCCGCTTTACATTTTGTACCCTAGGGAGCCTCTCATAATCCACCCTAGTCCTGAGTCTATTTTTTTAATTCCATTACTGGTCTCAAACTCAGGGCCTAGCCTCTATCCTTCAGCTCTTTTTTACTCAAAGCCAGCACTTTACCACTGGAGCCACTGCTGGCTTTTTTGATGCTTAATTGAAAGCAAGAGTTTCATAGACTTTCCTGCCCTGGCTGGCTTCAAACCTCAATCCTCAGATCTCAGCCTTCTGAGTAGCTAAGCTTACAGGCATGAGCCAACAGCTTCTGGCTCGGAGTCTAGATTTTTAAATACGATTTCTACTTGACACTGTCCTTTCATAGTGGTTTGCAATAAGACTTATGAGGGTCATGGTTCTCCCTAGCTTATGTGCCTAAAGCACAGTTGGATGAAAAGGACAAGGTTATAGAATCATTCTATTGTGCTTTTCAGTCTAAAATTCAGTTCCAGATATAAATGATTTTCCTTTCATTATACTCCTTACCATGTGTCAATTTAGAAAGTAGGAAGAAAGTGTCTTTTACCTTAAGCATCCCTGATAGTGAGGAGTTGGAAAGAAAACCTCAAACGCTGCTTACCTGCAGTACAAGTTGTACGCAGAGACCTATAAAAGAGGCAGTTTGATTTAGAGGACAACAGAGAAGTTTTGAGCTTCCTTCCGGAGAGTCGTTTACTTTTTTGTTACTATTAACCTATAGACTCTGTTTTATGTATTCCTAGTACTGCTAAAGTCTTGCAGATTTGAGTTTAAGTATTAACAGACACTAGCCTTAAGCATTTAACATCCAACTTAACCTTTGAGAAAGCCAAGTGATTTTTGCTACAGTTAGAAATTCAAGTCCACTTTCTGCCTTGTATCTTTTAAAGTGTCTCTTTAGAAGAGAAAGCTTTTATTTTCTAAATAGTTTTCTATTTCAAGTTGGCTTATCTTTGGGTGTTTTCTTTTATAGAGCGTATGGCAAGGCATTGTGTTTTCAGAAAGAAAAAAAGAAGTGGAGTATTCTATAAAGACATAATCTCTTTCTTACAGAATGGCCCTTGACCTGCATGCTGTGTATTTGTCTCCTCTGTATCCAACACAGCAGCCAGTTTTTTTTTTAATTCAACTCCACTGCTGAGAAAAGGCAATGTAAACTAAAAAGAAATTAATGCCAAAGCAATGTACTATATACAAAGAACTGTGGGTCATTTCACACCTGGGATGTATCTGCCTGAAATTCCCTATTATATGATTCTCTTTCCTGGTTGGGGGGCTTGGTGGGTAAGCAAGAGAGTGGGATCACAAGTAAAGAACAGAAATCACAGTTTCTGGTCCAGTGGGGATGCGCAGGCTTTCACCCTGCTGATAAAGATAATGCACTTGCAGTCAGTTTCTTTGTCTATTTTCTTGCCAATCATCAAGTTGGCCTGACAGAGCTTGTAAAAACCAGCAGTGCACTTGTAGAATATTTGGAAGTTTTGTGTCATTGTCTTGGGTCTCCAGTGGCCTTTCTTCACCCCCATGCCCTTTGCAGTTGCTTATCTGAGTCCTGTCTGCACAGTCTAGTTACTTTCAGTACAGCAGTATACTCATAGCTGTTTCATGATGCTCTTGGAAATGACTTTAAGTACAAAATGTATATTCTTGGAAATGATAATTAGACAATTACCAAGAAACTCTTCATTTACTTTAGCATTGCTTATTTCCCTACTTATGATAGGGAAGATTATTCAGTGCTTAACAAGGATTTCTTTTGGTTAAAGACTTGTATGGATGCACCTAACTATAAACCAATAAAAAATCCTCAAGTAACCACATAAATTTACACACAGTACCAGGCACCAGTGGCTCATGCTTGTAATCCTAGTTACTCAAGGGGCTGAGATCTGAGGATCGAGGTTCAAAGCCAGCCTGGGCCGGAAAGACCATGAGACTCTTATCTCCAATAAACTAATCAGAAAGCCAAAAGTGGCTCTGTGGCTCAAGTGGTAGAGCACTAGCCTTGAACTGAAGAGCTGAGGGACAGCACCCAGGCCCAGAGTTCAAGCCCCATGACCAACAACAACAACAACAAAAATGTACTCACAGTACAGAAATAGGTGAAAGAAGCTGTATACTAAGGGTTTGCTGTGCAATCTTGCCATGCTAGAATATTCTGAGTACCCTAAGAGATGTCTAAACTGATTGGAATTTTTTGGTTTTTTTTTAATTGTGAAAATAGTGTACAGAGGGGTTACAATTACATGGGCAAGATAATGAGTACATTTCTTATCAAGCATTGTAGCCTTCTCCTTTGTTTCCCCTTCCCATCCCTTCCCATCCTTCCCCCATCCACCCTACCCAGACCTCCCCCCCCCACCAAAGTTGTAAAGTTTGTTTTTCAACATAACGACTTGTACATCTCATTGTTGCAATGGGTCCACCTGTATCCCTATTTAAATGATCTGTTTTTTTCCTTCCCCCTCCACAAATTATACCAACATCAAATACAGTGAAAGCAGGGGTTATACCGTGGGGGAAGGACATACAAAGCAACAAAGAAATCATTTTACAAATATATTAGAAACAATCACATGAAAGAAAAAACATTTGAATACTTATCTTGGGGTTCATTTCACCTAACATCACCTTATCTGACCTTTTCTGCTTGACTCAGACATATACTAGTTATTGCAA